TGTACAGGACAACAAACTACTTACTTAGATTTGTTCAATTTGACAAAAAAATAATCATCATGTTTATGTGATGTGGTAGATAAAAATGATGACTTATTTGTCTACGGTACCGTCAGCTGTGATATCATAACGGTCGACGACGACAAACTTGAAATGAACGCGTTATACTGTGTTGACAGATAAATAAATGAATTTGAACCAATCATTTTCAATTTTAATTGGTCACGTTTAGTAGGCAGGTTGGTGACCGAAGTTTTTTTATTATTTTCATATGTTATCCGGAAGATGCTGCTGCCCATCTCCAGTTTCAGTTTCGCTCTATCGCCTCTTGCGACACTCACGGGATGATATTTGGTAGGGTTGTGTTTGCCACTGCACAGCGATCTAATATATAAATAAGGGAAATTGATGGAAAACATAATGGACTCAACACGACTACAATTTTGTTTTTGTTTTTTGGAGATGACTAAAAGCTGTTATCAGAAAGATTTGAGGGAAAAAAGGTTCTCGTGTGGTAGTGTCGCGATGGCTGACGCAGGTATAGTGGCGCAGTGTTTGAGTGATGACTTGATGACACATGTAGGGTAGAGGTGGCTCAGGACCGTGTTTTGTGGCAATTTATGAGAAAGGCCAATGTTTACCTGTGGACTTGTAATGGGCTATGATGATGATGATTTGATACTGCATTTTATTTAAACAAACGACCGGTAACTTTTTCGCTTAAAAACGTCGTTTTGTTTATGTTTAAGATAATCATGACCATTTTTTTCCTATGGGTATAGGTTTATACGTGGTAGAGCCACGGTACAGCTATATTATGCTTGTAGCACGAATGGGTCGGTTCAACCGGGGGGAAGGGCCTCGCTCACAGAATACCAGCGTAAAATAGCAGTTTAATACTGCTGTGTCTCGTATGGTGAGTGTAGAGATCTGGAGACCCTTTTTTACTGGAAACAAGGCATTACATTTTAATCCTCAGGGGTTACAAAGCATCTTCATTTTGATTCTTGATGCGAAGATAAATATAGATGTCTATGGGCCGCAGTATCCACTTACCATCAGGTGGACTGTGTGCTCGTTTGTCACCCTCATTTTATAAAAAAAAGATTCCTGGCAGTGCTCTCTGTCTGTTCGTTAAGTTTCATTACAGTACGTTTAGCCATTTTAAAGATTGTCCAGGACAGACAAACATACAGACAGATGGACAACATTTTGAAAACGGTGAATCACGTCTTAATAGCATGCAAATAAGGCCGTTATTTCGGTATTACAGACGAACAATTCAATTTTATTTATATGTATTGAAAAACTACCGGCAATACATACTTTTACTACCTCGTCATTATCATTATTGCGCCCGATTTCTCTTCTCAAATCTTAGACACGGTCGTTAGTGAACGCTCCATTGCTTTCTGAAATTGTTCTAGTAATTTACTATACGAGGAGTATTTAAATACTTGATTGTAATCGCGTTCTCGGAAGCGGTTCCAACGTTTGCGATAAAATTCGTAATATACTTGTACGTAATGTAGCCATGCTGAAGCTAAATTGTGGTTGTAACACGAATTGGTTGGCTCGACCGTGAGGACCACGCTCTCACAGTATAACAGCGTAAAATGGCATCTTAATACTGCTGTGTGGTATATGGTGACAGCCTGAAGTCTCCGTATTATGCGTTTTCATAATAAGCGTAGGTCATGTCATGACTCTCTAGAGCAGTGATTCTCAACCGGTGGTCCAAGAGCCTACCCAATCGTTTTAAATAACACATGTGTTATTTTTAAGTACCTTGTAGATTTCGCAATAAATACACAAATAATTTTGTTAATAAATGCTTATTTTCAGTTCATTACAAAATAATGTTAAAAGTTGTGATTATAATTTATTGTTTGATTAACGTATTTCACCTTGTGGTCCGTGTTAATAACAAAAAATCTAAGTGATCCTTGGTCCAAAAAAGGTTGGGAAACCCTGCTCTAGAGTTTACCATATACACCGCATTTGTATAATATTACAACTTATGAACATGAGATGTGATGCACCTTGGGAAAATACTAGGTAGGCTCATGGTATTACTATATTGTCATCAGTTTTTAATTCAATTTCTTGTTCTTGTATTAATTTTTTTTGATTATAAAACGTCTGGAAGTGGAAGAAAACTGATATATAAAATTCCATTCTATTCATACATGTACTTACGTACAAGTCGAGCTAATAAAAACGTTTTAGGATAGATAGCTCACAGTCCTGTTAACCATCCCTTTCAGATATCGAAAATTTAAACTTTTGATAAAAATTACAATGCGATTTTACAACAAAAAAAAAAACATAAATTCCACGTTATATTATATAGTTATTCTTCAATCGGTGCTAAGACAATGTATCGAAGAATAGCCCCGACTTCTGAAGCTATTACATGTATTTTTTTTAAATTGTTGTCGCTTTGCATTTTTTTTAGTTAATTTTACTTTTTGAGCTACCGTTACCGTTACAGGCTATTAGAGTCCACTGTTGGACATGGGTCTACCCCATAGACCACCTCACAGTCATTACATTCGCCTAAGTTGCCACGCTTGGCAAGCGGATTGGCAACTGCAGATTTTTAGTAGTAATTATAAAGACGCTGTTGCCCATCTCCTGATTTGTGTCCCGCTGTTGCCTCTTACGACACCCACGGGATGATTTGGGTTAGTGGATATTCTTCACCGCCATTACACGGTAGCCACACCTTTTTAAGCGGTATAGGAAATATCACAAGTTCTAGATAACAACTAGGATGTCGTTCAAATGGGTACATTAATTTATATGTTCCCTTATTGTATTCATAACCTATTTAACAAAAAAGACTTCTCATTCAAAAAGATCAATCACAGCGTATAACATTCAGAAGTAAATAGAAAACATACAAGATAAGAGAAACATAAGTAAATCTCAGTAAAGAGATTACATTCTTCAAGACTCAATGCGGTTCAGCAGCGCTGGTTCGGCGGAGCCCAGATAAATAATGGTATTGTATTGCGTCTGCGTCGTTAACTTTTTTTTAATAAAATAGCGTGACAAATGAGCACGTAGCCCACCTGATGGTAAATGGAAAAAATTACTGATATTATCGCGTTTGATCTAATTTATTTTAAGTTCACGACCTTTCAGGTGCTTTTTTACAGCACCCATGGTCACGGGGAGACTTTCATATTGAGTTAATTAAACACGATAAAATCGGTAAAATGAGTCTTATTTTTTCGTATGCTTGTTTTACTAATTTTGTTTCAATTTATCATATGTTTATAAAATAAGTGCAAACGAGCACACGGTCTATCTGCTGGTAAGTGGATTTTGAGGTTCATAGACAGATCTATCATCGGTTAGGAACTATGGAATGCTTCGTTTCCAATAAAAAGGGTCTCCGGTTCTCTACACTATACGAAAGAGCAAAATTGAGCTTCTATTTTACGCTGGTATTCTGTGAAATCGGTGCAACTTTCCATTTAAAAAGAAAATAATTCTTTGAATCGGTGTAGCTTTTTCCGAGAAATCGTTGAACATAAAAAATATACGCGTCGAACGATCGCCTCGTATTTTGTACTCGGTTTAAAAATAAAACCATTTTTAGCTCACAAGCAGTAAATGTTATAAATAAATCAGTCTAAATAAAAGGGAAACAGAAATAACAATAAAATCCTTGAATATGTTCAGTCTATTTTACAAGTTACGTGTCGAGCGCGAATTAAACAGTTCGTATAACGAGGGCGCCGGTCACGCTTCGACGAGCGGCAACAAAAAGTTTGGCAACAATACACTGGCAGTGGCATTCACACACACGACCGCGGAACTACTTGATAATGAGCTCTTATATAAGTCAAACTATAGTTTGATGCAAGTTATTTGTCATAACTCTTACTGCAACTTATCGCATGACTTGCACACAATCCTGTCTGACAATAAAAAATTAGTAGATCTGATTGTCCTCCTCTTCTTGTTTTGAAAGAAAAATGTCTTTATCGTTTAACCAATGATACGTTGCCAATGACAAGATTGAGCAATATTAATGAAAGAGATGTTGCAGTGTATTTTGACTACTAGTTTTAATGACGATTTTATGCATAACCCTAGAAGTTAAGATGTATAAAATAAAAATAAGATACTCAAGATTAGTTAATATAACTAATCTTGAGTTTCTTATTTTTATTTTTACGGAAATTGTAAAGATATTAATAGTTATTTTGCAACCATCCATGGGGAGAAAGGTTCTCGAGTTGCAGCTTCGTACCGGTAGGCGAAGTGTAGGGAGGTCCCCAACTAGATGCAGTGACGACCTGGTAAGACGTGCAGGAAGTCGATGGATGCAGGTGACTCAGGTCCGTCCTTTGTGGTGTTCCTTAGCAAGTGCTATGTTCAGCGGTGGACTTGTGAAGGGCTGTAATGATGATGATGATGATGACTATGACCCTATAGCTTAATTTTTTTAGGAGCCGTGGTAGCTCAGATGGTTAGCGCTCGCTGTAAATTTTACAATACGCGAGCAAACCGGGTTCGATCCCCGCCGGCATCAATGAAATTGTTAATTACAATTTTAAGTGCTGATTTAACACGTGCTCGGCGGTGATGAAGGAAAACATCCTGAGGAAACCTGCATGTCTGAGAAATAAAATAAAAAATATTTCGAAGACATGTGAAGTTCGCCAACACGCATTAGGGCAGCGCGGCGGACTATTCCTTGCCCTACTCAGAAATGAGAGGAGGACTGTGCCCAGCAGTGGGACGTATATAGGCTGTAACTTTACTTTTTTACTTTACTATAGCTTAATTTAGTTATATTGACGCTTTGCATTAAATTAGATAAGTTATTTTGTTTGCACTGTACACAAGAGTGATGATTCCAAGAGATGCATTGACTATTATATTAGCTTACTTTGTAAAATGGGTTATTTTAAAAAAAGTACTTATCACACGGCATGTTGACTATGTTAAATAGTAAATGTTTGTAATTTTCATTATTTCAGAAGTACATCCCGTTCGCCTTCACCGTCGCTTCGCCTCACAGAGAGCAGTTCCGAACTCGTTGATGACAAGGTAACGTATAAAGCAGTAGAGCCTTAGTTAGGTAGTAAACATGTCTTATACGTGGTAGAGCCATACCACAGTTATAACAAACATATAAAAATGACGATTGAGCAGCTTAGTGGCCACATTTTGGTCTCGTTGATTATGCTTATCTAACACTTTCGCCCTAATCACTTGTCAATATATTGCTATTTATTTTAGTTAGGTACCTTACTGAGATCTAAATTAATTATAGTAATAAGTAATGAAGCGACAGTAGCCTAATGGCAGGGCGCGGACCGCGAACTCAAAAAAATCGTGGGTTCGAATCCGCCATTCGACTACTGGCGTGAACCACTCGTAACGTAAGCAGTTTAAGCTTACCACGAGTGGTTAAAGGGAATATTAGTAATGTTTATAGCATTGTTAATATTCTTTCTAAAAATAACAAAAAAAAAGTATTGAATCGCGCTATCAATATTCCGTAGTTACCGCGTTATATATAGAACACCTGCGAAATAACACTTGGAACGTTGGCCGCTCCCCGGGCTGAACATCTTGCCCGGCGGGAGATCTACCCTTTTACTTCCACTGCCAAACTGGTGACCAACCGACTTGATGTGAACATGTAACCAAAACAACCATCGGAAACTACAACTGTCAAGTCTCATTATCCTTAAGAACCCGCTACTATTCACTACCGAGAATCGTCTTCTGTAGTCTTCAGCTCCTGCAAGCCAGTCCAACATATCTTCATCTTGTCTCACTGCAGATTTACAAGGCAGAATTCTGGCACTTGCTCCGGCATATCGTTCTCACCGGCATCACTTGCAAGTGCGTAGGTCGGCATGCATTACACATCGGAATACCGTTCGCACTGGCATCCCCCACCGGCATTTAGGACGCACCGGCAATAGGACTGCGCTATGGGCCTCGGGTCTGAGCAGAGGGGTGATGTAGCGACGCTGTCGCTACATCATCACAAGCGAAACACACCGAAGCCTAAATCGTGCTATCAATATTCCGAAGTTACTACGCTATATATAGAACAGCTCTGGGCTGAACACCTTGCTCGGCGGGAGATCTCTCTTTTTCCTTCTACTGCCATAAGTACACTTTGTACGTGGTAGAGCCATGCTACAGCTATATTGTGGCTGTAGCATTAATGGGTCGGCTCGACCGGGTTAGGGTCACGCTCTCACAGAATACCAGCGTAAAATAGCAGCTCTAATGCTGCTGTGTTTCGTATGGTGAGTGTAGAAAACCGGAGACCATTTTTATTAGAAATTAGTCCTCAAGTGTTAACAACATATCTGCATTTTGATTTTGAATCGAGGACGGATGTAGATGTCTATGGGCCACCGCATCGATTTACTATCAGCTGGACTGTGTGCTCGTTTGTCGTCACCTTATTCTATAAAAAATAATAGACGACCTTTATCTAATATTATCGATACTTGGGTCATGTCTGAGGTTAATCGTCACGGTGACTTTGATAACATTGAGTACCTTGAAACAAACGTACTCGTACATACAGATTATAAACACTAAAATTTACAATGTTGTTTTAAGTTCGATTACTGTCCTGATTCTGTAGTGATTCACTCTTTATACGAGCAGAGGGAATCTGTAGTAAGAGATGGGCAGTAGTGTCTTTCTGACAACAATTCTAAATAAAAAACGACGCTCCGGAGTGCCGGCACTCCGAAGTAACTTGAATATTAACGTTGGGCATTTTTGATATTTTGGAATGGTTAGGGAATAATTTTGCAGGAATTGCTTTAATTATCAGTATAAAATTACTATCTATTTATGTGATAGAATACAATATTTATTTATTGCGCTATCGTACACAACTAAACGACACAGCAGCTGCGCCTGCTGTGTCGTGTGTCGTATACATTTTCGCCGCGCCGTAGAAAGAGAGGGGGATACTTCCTCTCCTACGCTGCGCCGGCTGTCTCTTTCTCTCCATCCGTCTTACGCATTTTCGATCAGGGTCACGTGTCCTGACGCGAGTTTAACATTTTTTACCCATTACAAAAAAAGTGTACAACACTGCTAAAGAAGTTTTCACTTCAAAAAACTGCGGTTATCAGCCCGCCTGCCAAGAGTGGCAACTATGGCAAGAACCCCCTATGAGGCAATCTATGGGAAGGCAAACGGAATATTCAGCAGTAGACTTGTTTAGTCTACTGCTGAATATTAGCTTAGTTTAATTAATAGTGTTCCTTGATTTTTCGGGTATTTTACAGTAATGTAATAGTATCATAGTTAGTAAAAAAGTGTCTCCGGAGCTCTACACTCACCATACGAAACACAGCAGTATTAAGCTACTTGATGTTATTATAAGGAATACCTAATAGAAATATCTCTACTGTACTGTGTACTTGATCCTAAAACACCGAGGTATCTTAAAGAAAAATTTGAGTTTGCGGGTGCAGATAAAGATCATTCAAGATTAGCTGATATAAACTCATTTTGCAAATGCCTACTCACAACTCAAATTTTTTTCATAACTCCTTTTGTGTCAAAGCAATCAAATTATGGAACTCGCTTCCTTTAACAATTAATAAACCCAAAGCATTGAGTCTTTCAAAAACTGGTTAAAATTGTCATTTAAATATGTGTTCTACTTAATATATTTCATTCTCATATCTACTATTCTTGATAAAGTTTGTGTACCTATACATTTATAGTATGTATATATAGCTATAATTCGTTATAAAAATATTTATAAATATGTATATGTATAATTATGTATGTATATATTTATGCACACTTCTATATGTTTAAATGAAAGAGATCTCTTTCACCAAGGTTTGCCTGGAAGAGATCGCTGTTTAGCGATAGGGCCACCTAATTGTACATGAATTGATCAATTAAGTTTGTTATGCTTTGTAATATTTTATGTGCAATAAAGAGTATTATTATTATTATTAATATTAAATTTGTTATAATTTTTTTTAATAATATGATCGTGGTTTAGTGTTTAAATAAAATAAAAATAGATTTTTAATTACGATTTTTGGCTTGGATGCTTGTCCTTTAAGCCATGTCTGAATTTTATTCGGGATCTTCGTTTTTATAGATTTTTTCTTCACAATATACTGATGTGTCATATTGCGAAGTTCTTGTGAGATTTTGACGAGAGCTCAAAATAGCGGACAGTCGATGACGATAGTCACCCAAGTTCATAAGTCGCCTAAGCGATCAAAATAACTTTATATCAACGTTTATATCAACATCGAAATGCTTAGTTTTCACTTATAGTTTACATGCGCAGACACTTAATACACAAAATCGCATCACTTTTACGTATCAAAATCCACTTAAAACCATTATTGAAACGATGAAACAGGAGCAACAATCCGTCGACGGTTAAGTTCCCGCCAAAACTCCAAAAATAGGGTCGTTACCAGCAGTTATACTGACATACTGTTTAATTGTGTGTAATTTCAAGCCATGATTCAAACTCGTTTTAATTTGCAGTCGGGTGACGTATCCTTCCAAGGTGCCGGAGATGGGTCGATCTCTATTGAAACTCCACTTGCCAAATCTGATAGCAACAAGGTATGTTTCTTAAAATGTTATATTTTATTATTATTACATTTATCCTCGATTGAAGATACGTTGTCACAACTGAAGACTAAGATGGAATACCTTGTTTCCAGTTAGAAGCGTCTCCGGTTCTTCACACTCACCATACAAAACACAATAGCATTAAACTGCTATTTAACGCTGATATTCTGTGAGAGCGTGGTCCTACCCCAGTGGAGCCGAAACATGCGTGCTATAACTAATGTAGCTACAGCGTGGCTCTACCACGTATAAAAATGTTTTACGAATACCGCAAATTAAGAAAATTAGAATCATAATAATTTATTTCGTAGATCATAGGTATTACGTAGATACTAGCCAACTACATATGACCTACCACGTGTGTATATACGAATTACAATAGTTTTGTCAATTAAGCCATTTATAAGCATTATTTACAGAATTAGAAGCAATATTATAACATGGGCAGCGTTCGGGAAATTACGACACATCTTCTCGTCAGGTATACCTCAATCTCTGAAAACTAGTGTATTGAAATAATACTAGTTTTTACGGAATTTATCGCGTATATTTAACTTTTTAATACCCGACGTTACGAGAGCTTTACAGCACCCATGGTCACGGGAAGGACTGAGATGTTCAACGTCCAGATATCATAGTTAACCGCTGTTACCATAGATTAAAATTTAACTTTTGTTCCGATCTATACAGTATGAACTTATGGTATCATGAAGTCTTGCAGTTGTATGCTTGGGTTGGGATCTAATTTTATTTATTATAGGATCCCAAGCAGATGGTAGCACCCAGCCATCTTCTCTATTGAAATTAGGATGTTTTTTGATTTCAATAGCCTCGCGAATCATTCTTGGAAGGATTCGGTTTAGCGAGGATTTGTGGTCTATCAAATTTGATAGACCACAAGCATACAACTGCAAGACTTCATGATACCATAAGTTCATACTGTATAGATCGGAACAAAAGTTAAATTTTAATCTATGGTAACCGCGGTTAACTATGACATCTGGACGTTGAACATCTCAGTCCTTCCCGTGACCATGGGTGCTGTAAAGCTCTCGAAACGTCGGGTATTAAAAAGTTAAATATACGCGATAAATTCCGTAAAAACTAGTATTATTTTCAATGTGTAATGTTCGCGTAAATATAAGAAATCATTAACTAAAGTGTATATAACCAGTGCGTGTTGCCAGTAATGACTTACGGATCTGAGACGTTGTCCTTCACTGCTGGCCGTATGAGGACGCTGAAGGTCGCTCAGCGAGCTATGGAGAGGGCTATTCTCGGAGTTTCTCTGCGTGATACACGTGCTATGCGTGATGACTCATAAATGAGGATATCCGCAGTAAAGCCAGAGTGACCGACATAGCCCAACGGATTAGTAAGCTGAAGTGGCAATGGGCCGGCCATATAGCTCGAAGAACCGATTACCGATGGGGAAGAAAGGTTCTCGAAGTCAAGTGGCTCAGGACCGTGCTTTGTGGCATTACTTGGGGGAGGTCTATGTTCAGCAGTGGACTTGTGAAGGGCTGTAATGATGATAATGATGATTATAACATGTTGGACATCTGAATATGTCATTAAAATATTAAATAATAACTACATATGCAAATTTGCACCGGCACTGCCAAGAGATGTTTTTTTTTTTTTTTTTATAGAAGAAGGGGTAAACGAGCATGTGGCTCACCTGATGTTAAGTGACTACCGCCGCCCATGATCAACCGCAACACCAGGAGAATTGCGGGTGCGTTGCCGGCCCTTTAGAAAGGAGTAAGCTCTTTTCTTGAAGGTCCCCAGGTCGTATCGGTCCGGAAAAATCGCCGGTGGTAAACTATTCCACAGAGAGGTTGTACGTGGGAAAAAACTCCTTGTGAAACGTACAGTGGTGGACCGCCAAGCATCCAGATGGTGTGGATGGTATCGGGACGTTTGACCTGTAGTGCGTTCACGAAATTTGGCGGCTGGGATTAATCCGAACAATTCCTCAGAGCACTCCCCGTGATAGATGCGATAAAATACGCAAAGAGATGCAACATCTCTTCGCAGCGCCAGTGAATCGAGCCGATCGGAAAGCACTCGGTCGTCGACGATTCGAGCCGCTCTGCGCTGGATGCGGTCAAGTGGAAGAAGCTGGTACTGGGGAGCCCCAGCCCAGAGATGGGAACAGTATTCCATGTGCGGCCGAACCTGCGCCTTGTAAAGTTGCAGGCGGTGTGCCGGCATGAAATACTGTTCCGCTCTGCTGAGCACGCCATGCTTTTTAGAGGCCAATTTGGCCTTCCCTTCCAAGTGACCACGAAACTGCACGTCACTCGATATGTCGACGCCGAGGATTCCGATACTGGCTGAGGCAACAAGGGGAGGGCCTTGAAACTGAGGGGATACGACAAAGGGGTTCTTTTTAGCGGTTAACGCGCAAACTTGTGTCTTCTGGGGGTTAAACTGGACTAGATTTAGTCGCCCCCAATCCGAGACTGTCCAGCAGAGACTCGACTTCAGACACAAGTTTGTCACGGCACTCGGAGACGTTTTCCCGAGAAATATTGGCTCGGCCGGTGTAAAGAGCATCACCAGTGCTGTCATCTGCATAGCAATGAATGTTACGGGTACGCAACATGTCATTGATATGCAGAAGAAACAGCGTTGGCGATAGCACACAGCCCTGTGGAACACCAGCATTAATAGGCTTGCAATCGGAGCTTGCACCGTCTACAACGACCTTGATGCTCCGATCTGCAAGAAAGCTGGTGATCCAATCGCACAATTTCTCGGGAAGCCCATAGGAAGGGAGCTTCGAAAGAAGCGCTTTGTGCCAAACCCGATCGAAGGCCGTCGCAATGTCCAAACTAACGGCCAATGCCTCCCCCTTGAACTCTACTGCCTCCGCCCATCTGTGAGTTAGGTAGATCAGAAGATCACCAGCTGACCGACCACGGCGAAAACCGTATTGGCGGTCACTAATCAGCTGGTGATCTTCAAGGTACCTCATGAGCTGGCAGTTTACAATGGACTCCATTGTTTGTTGCATCTCTTTGCGTATTTTGTCGCATCTACCACGGAGAGTGCTCTGAGGAATTGTTCGGACTAATTGTAGCCGCACAGTTTCACCATCGCACATCGCGAAAATACTGGCGATACCATCCATACTATCTGGACAACTGGCGGTCCACCACTAAGCGATTTAAAAGAAGTTTTCTTCCTCGTACAACTTCTTTGTGGAATCAACTACCACCAGAGATTTTTCCGGGCCGATACGACTTAGGGTTTAGGGACCTTCAAGAAAAAAGCCTATTCGTTTTCAAAAGGCCAGCAACGCATCTGCAATTCCCCCTGGTGTTGCAGCTGTTCATGGCCGGCGCGGCGATAATCACTTACCACCAGGTGAGCCGTATGCTCGTTTGCCCACTCTACTATAAAAAAGCAACTAATTCTTCAAAAGGCATTTTGTTCTGCCCCTCGGGTATTGAATTTTTTAAAAGTTATCCAAATTCTGCAAAAAGTAGAAGTCTGTAGGCGTATGGTCTGGATCTGGAGAGTTCGGTCTAGTCGCGCGGACTAGAGATTGTCGCCAGATTTTTTTAAATGTTGCCAGAAAAAAACAGACGTTTAAACATGGTAGAGCCATGCTGCAGTTGTATTTGTAGCATAGGTGTTTGAAAAGCACGAATGGTTTGGCTCGACCGGGGAAGGATCACGCTCTCACAGAATACCTGCGTAAAATAGTAGCTTCATTCAGTCGTGTTTCGTATTGTGAGTGTAGATAACCGGAGACTCTTTTTACTGGAAACGAGGCATTCCATCTTAGTCCTCACGGGTGACAAGGCTGAAATCTGCATTTTGATTTGTAATCGAGGATAGATGTAGATTTGGGCCACAGTAACCACTTACCATCAGGTGGACTGTGTGCTCGTTTGTCACAAGACGAATGAAATGAATGAATTGAAATGAAATAAATGATTAAGACTATTGAAAAATTGTATGCGGAATTTACGTCAAGGCAAAATAGCGTTATTAGATATCTGTTTTATTTATTAGTGTGCAATTGAAAGTATAGAGAATACATACGAGAGGCGTTCATTGTATTCTCGGTATGGGTATGTTAGAAAACATATAAAATTACGAAATATTTTTTATTTTTCAAATTAGTCTCCCATGACGTCAATACATTTACTTTTTCGTGAAAAAAGCTATCCCTTGAAAAAAATCTTCTTCGTCGCACTGACTTTTGTGAGGTTGAGATAGTCATGCAATATGGTGTGTATGGTACCAACGGATAGTTCGTTATTTCTGCTAACGTATTAATTCTTACTCGTGCATCTTATAATATAAAATTTTCAATAATTTTTACATTTTCTTCTGTAGCCGCTGTGATAGGCCCACTTGGGCGGGGGACATTTTCGGTGCTTTCCCTGCCTCTTTTGAATTCACTTGACCGCTTAGGTATAGTTGACATTGAAGGAGCAGGGTCTTGATAAACGGCCACCATTTCTTCTTGGATGGTTTTTTTGTGTTTTTCCTAGTTTAGTGAGGATTTTAATCACCGCACGGTGTTCGATTTTTTTCAACATTGCCAAGTCAGCCATTCTCGTCGTCTATGACTGAAGGTTGCATAAGATGTAAAGAAGTAATCAAGACGAGACTTCGTATTTATACCTTCAGGTAGTTTCGTAAACTAACGATTTTTTTTTAATTACCAACATTATTAGCTAATCACCTTAATACCGAGAATACATTGAACGGCCCTCGTAGTTCCACATCCACCAACCACATCATCTCGACGCTTGGCGGGGTCCACTACTGTGACATTTACTAGAAGTTTACTTCCTCGCACTACTACTTTGTGGAAACGGTTACCATTAGGGATTTTTCCGGACCGATACAACTTAAGGAATTTAAAAGCACATAAACTTTTTAAAAACAACTTACATGCAGAGAGTTTAAAGTGAAATACTACACTGAACGATGGGTGACCATTAATTTTATATTAATTTGCTACTTACTACTTTAGGCGTATCCTTAGGCACGTCCTGATCCAGTTTTTAAGAGACTTACACAGAATTGAAAACCGTCGATGTTACAGGTAATCACAGATAAATCACAGAACACAGTGGTGTTGCGAGGAGGTGTGGACGTCGGTGGGGCTCGGACGAAGAAGAAAAGCTGGTACAACTCACTGTACCCCACTTATAAGAGCAAGTCGGAGGACTTCAAACGCCTGTTCAAGGACTTGCCCGATGAGGAAAGACTTATTGTCGGTGAGTTTATACACTTTTTGATGAATCATTCCAAACTAGCATTAATCTGCCAAAAACAGTTTTAAATTAACCGAATGATTTTCATACATTTCAGCCATGTTAACGCGAACACTACACGTAGGATACTACTCCTAACTCACTACTTTTACTGATTTATTGATCGCGTTTAATTTTACTTGTTTTTAATTCCCGACGTCGAATATTAATCAACAAATAACAATTTTGACGTGTAACACTGCTGAGCATAGGCCTCACCATAGATTACGAGTACTTCATAGGGGAGCCGTGGTAGCTCAGATGGTTAGCGCTCACTGTACAGGCACATTACGCGAGCAACCCGGGGGTCATACACAAAGTTCAAAAATGTTATTAAACTAAGTTTGTATAAAAAGGGTTATTATAATATTAAGGAATTTATGGATGATAATAACCCCTGGGAAGGCTGATCGCTACCAAGATATTTCTAATTTGTCTTGTGTTGTTAACTATTATTGGAAAAAAATAGTCCCGCTGGTTTTCTTTCTGGTTCTTCCCAGGACAGAGGTTTTTTTTTTGCGAACCAGTGGTAAATGAAAAAAGTGACTTTCAGTAGGTATTGTTATAATCTACATTGAATAAAAAAAGTTTCTGTTTCTGTTTGATCTCCGCCGGCACCAACCACCTACGTGCTCGACGGTGAAGGAAAACATCGTGAGGAAACCTGCACGTCTGAGAAATACAAAAAAAAATATTTCGAAAGCGTGAAGTTCGCCAACACGCATTGGAGCAGCGCGGTAGACACTTCCTTGCCCTAAAAAACACTCTCAGACCTGAGAGGAGGCTTGTGCCCAGCAGTGGGACGTATGTATATAGGCTGTAACTTTAACATAGGGGAGATATTTGCCACAGTTGCCACGCTCGACAGGCGGGTTTGTAACTGCAGTTTCTTTTTTATTGTTATTACTAAGTTGCTGCTGCCCATATCCTGGTTGTTTCGCTCTGTGGCCCTACGAGACCCTCGTGACGAGAGGGTGGTAGATATTGTTACACCGCCACGACATGGCATCAGGCAGGGTGTAAATCGAGCGACATGATGTCTGTTTGTTTGCGCAGACTACTCGTGCGCCCTGCAGAAGGACATCCTGGCTCATGGACGGCTGTACGCGTCGCAGAACTACATGTGCTTCTATGCCAACATTTTCGGCTGGGAGACCAGCATGACGTTGCGCTGGAAGGACGTCACAGCAATCACCAAGGAGAAGACAGCTTTAGTATGTTTACTTTTCAAAATATCTTAATTATTACACCAGTAAACTTACGTAGAGGCTACTCTGCCGCCATTTTGTGACACGTCAGTGTATTTTTTAAAAATAATGATATGAATGCAATATCTTTAGATGATGAATATTTTTATAAGGAAAAAGAAAAAAACAATGAATTAAATATAAGTCATTATCTATTTTAAATGTTAATTTATCATTTTTTGTTCCATTAAACAAGCAATGTATAGGGCGCCCCCACTAGGTGGAGTAACGACCTGGTAAATTAACTGCAGAAAGTAAGGATCCATCATGCAGGTGACTCAGGACCGCGCTTTGTAGCATTTCTTGGGGGAGCATATGTTCAGTGGACTTGTAAAATAGGGCTGTAATGATGATGATGATGAAGATAATGAAACAAATAAATATATTGAAACAACGAAATGCAAACTTTTTATGAAATGTAATGTCTTTTTAAAGCAACATTCTAAAAAAAATTTGGTCCCAGCCCCATGGTCACTCACTAAGATATAAAAAGCCTACTTCTGGGGCATAGACCATTTCCCATAATGCCATACAGTAAAAGGTACCACACATAGAATACTATAAATACATACATAACAGAACGAGGGAGTGGGCGGAGCCCGTGTAGCCACTAACATGTCACTAACGCGTCAATTCACACGTATAAATGTCAACACGAGATGTATTTTGACGTTACAATCGTTTCCAAATTTCGCATGCAAATTATTTAGAAAATGCCCAATTGTACCCTATTTATAAATAAATATGTATTAAAATCCGTCTGTCAACACAGCGAATCGGGTTTGTAGTAGTGATTAACTGATAATATGACGTAATTGCTTGTATGTGTGCTCCCGGCGACGCCAATCCTCCTACAAAATAAGGTTGATAGTCATTCTATTGTGTATTATAATATTCTATGGTACCACATGAATCTATAGATTGCGGTGTAACAATTCTGTGTACTGTTACCGTTAAAATCTATTTATTTATTTGGATATTTTGCATAATGTGTGTGTTTTACAGTTGTTATAAAAAATATAGTACAACACATTAACCATTTCTGGTGTACAAAATGATTGAAATTTAAAAACATTGAGTATTATTAAGTACATTATAAATTAAAATTACGAGAAGAAGTCCACTGCTGAATAAGGCCTCCCCATAGACATAAGGTGGGTATCTGCCACAGTTGGCACGCTTGGCAAGCGGGTTGGCACCCGCAGTTTTTTTATTTTAGTCGTTACTAGGAAAACGCCGCTGCCCGTCTCCTGATTTGTTTCCCTCAGTCGCCTCTTACCACACCCACGGGATGATATGGAGTAGTGGATATTCTTACACCGGCCAGAGTAAAACAGAAAAGGTACATATCTGACAGAGGAATTACATAGGCTGATGATGAAGGAAATCACAATTGTTCTTTTTTGTAGAATAAGGGTTACAATGGAACGCGCGGTCCACCTGATGGTATTTGGATGCTGTGACCATAGATATCTACATCGATCCTCGATAAAGAATCAATATGCAGATTCGTTGTCACCCCTAAGGACTATAATGGAATGCCTCGTTTCCAGTAAAAAAAGGTGTCCGGTTTTCTACAACCACCGTACGAAATAGCAGCATTGAGCTGCTATTTTACGCTGGAATTCTGTGAGAATGTGGTTCTTTCCCGGCTATAGGCTATACCACGTACAACACAGTCCACACGGCGAACGGTAATATACATGACTGTTCGCCGTGTGGACTATTAATTTATACGAATAAACTTAAATACGTGGATGTTCAGGTAATCCCGAACGCGATCCTCGTTTGCACGGAGGGCGAGAAGAACTTCCTGACGTCATTCTCCGGACGAGACAAGGCGTACCTGATGCTGTTCCGCATCTGGCAGAATGCGCTAATGGACCAGCCTATGAGCAGCCAAGAGATCTGGCAATGGGTGAGTTCCTACTGCCTTACACAAAAATGTTGCGTGGTTTCAGATATATCATTCTTTAAGTTACCGAAGGATTGTAGTTAATTGTTCCGTGGATTGATGCTAACGATCCTGATGACCAAGAAAAGGTTTCAGATAAAGTTACCGAAGGATTTTGGTAGGAAGTTATGAAAGGCGATTTTTTGTTAAAGAAGAGCGGCGGCTCTCCTGATGTTAAGTGACTACCGCCGCCCATGAACAACCACAACACCAGGGGAATTGCAGATGCGTTTCCGGCCTTTGATAAAGGAGTAAGCTCTTTTCTTGAAGGTCCCTAAGTCGTATCCGTCCGGAAAAGACGCCGATAGTAAACAATTCTACAGAGAAGTTGTACGAGGAAGAAAACTCCTAGTAAAACGTACAGTAGTTGACCGCCAAGCATCCACATGGTGAGGATGGTATCGGGAATTTTGACGCGATGTGCGTTCGTGAAATTTGGCGACTGGAACTAATCCGAACAATTCCTCAGAACCCCGGAAACGAAAAAACGCAAAGGGATACAACATCCCCACGCAGCGCCAGTAAATAGAGCCGATCAGAAAGAACTCGATCGTCGACGATTCGAATCGCTTTGCGCTGGATGCGGTCAAGTGGAAGGAGCTGGCACTGGAGTGCTCCGGCCCAGAGATGAGAACAGTATTCCATGTGAGGCCCAACTTTCGCTTTATATAGTTGCAAGCGATGTGTCGGCATGAAATTCTGTCTCGCTCTGCTGAGTACGCCAAGCTTTTTAGAGGCCAATTTGGCTTTCCCCTCCAAGTAACCATGAAACTGCACACTATTCGATATGTCGACGCCGAGGATTCTGATGCCAGCTGAGGCAACAAGGGGAGTGCCTTCAAAGTGAGGAGATACGACAAAGGGGTTCTTTTTAGCGGTTAACGCGCAAACTTGTGTCTTAGGGGATTTTGACCAGATTTAGTCGACTCCAATCCGAGACTTTGTTAAGCAAAGACTCGACTTCAGGCACAAGTTTGTCCTGGTACTCGGCGACGATTTCCCGAGAAATATTGGCATGGCTGGTGTATAAGGCATCTTCAGTGTTGTCTTTTGCATAACTAAGAATGTTATAAGTTTGTAACACATCATTGATATGCAGAAAAAACAGCTTTGGTGATAGCACGCAACCTTGTGAAACACCCGCGTTAATAGGCTTGTAATCAGAGCATGCACCGCTTACCACGACCTTGATGCTCCCATCAGCAAGAAAACTAGTAATCCAATTGCACAATTTCTCGGGATGCCCATAGGAAGGGAACTTCGAAAGAAGCGCTTTGTGCCAAACCCGATCGAAGGCCTTCGCTATGTCCAAACTAACAGCCAATGCCTCCGCCCGATATCAGTTAAATAAACTGGCACGTGCGAGTCGAGCCTCGCTCTGTTAGGGTTCCGTATATACTTAGTCTGATCATAAGTTCTGTCAAAAATTTCTTTAAAATTTATAATACACTTTTTGATAATTATTTAGAAATTATATATGAAATGAAAGTTAATTTAATTTAGAATACAATTTTATTTACATTATTCAAAATCCCCTATTTTGAATACATGCCCTTAATCGACGCGGCCAATCATCAATCGCAGCACGCACCACACCCATAATTATTTTGATGAAAGATGCTCGGATAAATTCTTACGATGAGCTCGTAGTCCTAGGTCTTCATTGATCACTCTTTTGACCGTGGTTCTGCTTAGGCCCATCTGAAGAGCGAAGATTTTTTGTTTACGAACAGGATTTCGTCGGATTCGCGCCTTCACTGCTTTGATGATTGCGGGTGTCCTAACTGTAAGAGGTCGGCCGGTCCTCGTACGATCTTCGAAGCCTGAATCCTCAGTGAATCGTTTGATAGTGCGATAAACGAATCGTAGAGTTGTTTTCAATTTTTGTAGAATATTGGAAATCTCTTTTGGCGCTAACCACAGCGGTGTAACGCAATAACCGCTACTCTATCTTCTTTCTTCAACCGCTCCATATTTGAAAATGATTGCAAAACAAATATGGCTTCGATGTCAGTCGCATTACCCCATAGCAAAATTCCATAAGACTTCTAATATTTCTTACAGCATATGCTGCAGAACTAAGTCTGCCTGCTAATTTAGATATATGGGGCCCCATTGAAGCTTCGCGTCAATAGTAATACCAAGAGAGTTTATGAGCAAATTATTAGCGTTAAAATAATGTACTGATTTCAATAGAGCATTATTTACATTGTCAAAATTAATTGACTGTCGTTTGAGTTTAAAAATTAAAGAGATATCATCAGCAAATAATACTATATCGTGATTGTCCCCAATAAGATAAGGTAAATCACTAATATAGTCTAAAAGCAAGAATGTTCTAAGAATCGAGCCCTGAGGAACGCACATTGATACTACTAATCCGTTTTTAGAATTTTTGTCTGTCTGTCTGTGTATTGACACCATGTAATCAACATTATTTTGTCAAAGCAACTTTAAAATAACGCATTTCAATTTTTCATCCCAAGGCAATTTTCCTTTCATAAAGACACATCAGAAGACAAGCCCGATATAAAAAGGTGTTGCTAGACGTATGATGTTAATGCAATTCTGATAAACTCACTTGTGTTTCTGTAGCGTATTATATTGCCTAATTTCAATCGTTTCCTACGAGTACATCCAAAGACACGGATATCGGGGTGTTTCTGTAAGTGATTCAGTTTTGCTAATTTTAGTAAGAAATAGTATTATTGATGTTACTAAATTCAAGCCTACGCGAGCGATGCCACGGGTAAAAAGCTAGTGATAAAATAAAGATATTTTATTTCGACCATTGTGGATCCTCTTAAACTTATTTGTTAGCATTACTTTTTTCCTTCAGAGAAAAAACATTACCTCCACAGTTTAAATTCATGAATTTCACAAGGACCAACATCCAGACCCGGAAAAACTCTGTGGGCCATATAAACACTAGTTTTGTGCGGGATTCGAACCCGCAGCCCTTAGCGCTGCAACTACTGCCTACATAAACTAAGAAACATACAGTGTTGGTTCAAGTACGTACAATCGAACCTGTCAGCAAAAACCCTCAGAACGGACTCAACACAACAAGGATGTGCACCACTTTCGCATAATATTATAAACACGAAATAATATTGTCATTATTTCTTTGTTTCTACCCATCCACAACAGTCTACTGTATCAAAAGTCTACTGCTGAAAATATGCCTCCCCATAGACTGCCTCGCAAGGGGAATATTTTCCATAGTATTTTTTTTTAATTTCTGTTGGTCGGTTTAATTAAGTTGTTATTTTTATTTTTTTAAAGAGAAAACTTATTTAGAATCGCGATCTGAAAGTTGATGAAACGAAAAAGCGACACTAAAAGAGACAAACATATATATCTATAGGATTTAGCTTGTGAGAGAATGAGATAGAATACACAATACAGTGGTTCCTATTATCGCGGTGTCTTCTTTGTGCGGTGCTTCATAGCTTTCCCACTCTTGTAATGGTGGTTAATATATATAGTGCGCTATCTCTCCATAGCGCATAACGCGTGCTATGTAAGTCGTCATGGCGTTATGGTGCTTTGGCGCTATTAAGTACTAAAATCTTTCGGCAATTAGTTCTAACAGCAGCGCTGTTAGGAGTGCACGTGTGACGCAAATTTAATCTAGTAGTGTTAGACGTTGTTTAGTTAGTGTATCATCATCATCATTACAGCCCTTCACAAGTCGACTGCTGAACACAGACCTCCCCCAACTAATGCCACAAAGCACGGTCCTGAGCCACCTGCATCCATCGACTTCCTGCGTATCTTACCAGGTCATCACTCCATCTAGTGGATGGGTCGCCCTACACTACGCCTACTGGTACGAGGCTGCCACTCGAGAACCTTTCTTCCCCATCGGTTATCGGTTCTTCGAACTATATGGCCGGCCCATTGCCACTTCAGCTTACTAATCCGTTGGGCTATGTCGGTCACTCTGGTTTTACTGCGGATATCCTCATTTCTGAGTCTATCACCCAGAGAAACTCCGAGCATAGCCCTCTCCATAGCTCGCTGAGCGACCTTGAAAGTCCGCATACGGCCAGCAGTGAAGGACCACGTCTCAGATCCGTAAGTCATCACTGGCAACACGCACGCAACAACACAATCTAGTTTTCAGAGATTGAGGTATACCTGACGAGAAGATGTGTCGTAATTTGCCGAACGCTGCCCAGCCGAGTTGAATCCGTCTATTGACCTCTCGGTCGAAGTTGGACTTACCTAGTCGGACTATTTGTCCCAGGTAAACGTACTCGTCAACAACTTCGAGCATAGTACTACCAACAACTACCGGCGTGACATGGACATTAAACATGATCTTTGTTTTGTCCATGTTCATCTTAAGACCTATCCGTTGGGAGACACCATTGAGGTCATTGTGCATAGTGCTAAGGTCCTCCAGCGATTCTGCCATAAGGACTATATCGTCGGCAAATCGAAGGGGAGTGATGTACTCGCCATTGATGTTAATACCGTATCCTTTCCAGTCCAGTAACTTGAAAACGTCTTCCACTGCAGCGGTGAAGAGTTTCGGGGAAGGGTTAGTTAGTGTATACTGTATATTTATAAGTAATCGAAGGACACAGTTGTCTGCTATAAAACAAACCTAACTAATGTTTTTAAATGTTAATAAAATGTAGATACAAAAGTGTATATACTTAATAGTGTATGTAAATAGTTGATTTTTATATATACAATCAATAAACTTTTGAATACACCTTTTATTGATTTTTAATTTATATTAAGGTTGAAATAACGTTTACATCAATTATAATAAAAAAATACGTGTGGCACTCGGTGACTGCCGCGGTAAAGCTATTGCATAGGATTTTTTATCAACTTATGCAATTATAATTATTTATTTATTTCTATTAAGTCTTTGATATTAAATCAAGTTACACTTTTTGAGTGTGGTGAGCGATAAGAAAACAATTTTTTTTCTCTTATTGAATAAA